GCAGATCTATTCCGCTAAGACCAAATACATTAACATTGTCATGTACATTACCATGCCAATCCCTCCGAGAGTTGTCATGACAGAACTAAAATTAAAACAATAAAATACTTTATTATGATTATTATTATATATATTTTTATTATTATTATTATTATTATTATTTCAGGTAGTTGCCACGGCAACGTTTCTCATTTTCATTTACTTTAACTTGATGTACTAAAACTATCATTATTATTATTATTATTATTATTTAACAAAAAATGCAAACAGGAAATTTGAAAATGAAAATGAAAACAAACACTATAATTGTATCTCAATAATAATAAAATAACATTGGTCCAAATAGATAAGGCTAACAAATCTGAAATGAAAGACAAAACATGCAAGAGATCAGTAACATAACCAAAACATGAGCTCAGTATAAACAGCCATAACTGCAGGAAAAATGAGACTTCACAAACATTAAATGACTCAGACTGCCTTATATCAGAGCCCCTCCCCTAGAGGGAGCCTTCAAGGTTAACAAAAAGAAGCATAACGCTGCAGTACACTGGCAAGGAGACAAGAAACCTTAGACAGGAGGCATTTTTTTAAATAGATGTCAATGAAGAAGAGTCTTTAAAGGGGTCATATGATGCAATTTAATTTTTTCCTTTCTCTTTGGAGTGTTACAAGCTCTTGGTGCATAAAGAAGATCTGTAAAGTTGCAAAGACTAAAGTCTCAAATCCAAAGAGAGAAACAATAATGTACAGTATGTGGAAAATAATGTGTTTTTTTAACTTTAAACCGCATAAACACATTTCATTACACCAAATACACAAAATAATGTTCTTTTGAGCAGCATCATATGACCCCTTTAATACTCTAAATGAACTGCTTTTGTGAGGAAACAACTCAAACATCGACAGCCTGTTGGCTAATCTTCAGTGTTTACCAGTATTCCTTCTCTTTTGGAGTTTGTCCCTAAGTTGAAAATCAAATTTCTAAGCTGTCTAAGCTTATGAGTTTGTTTTTGAAATGTAATTCCACATTTCCTCTTTGAGATTGTCCATTATTTGAGAATGCATTCATGTCCATATCACAAATGGTAATGTAAGGGTTACTCACTAAAACAGAATACTTTTAATACAAAAACTGTTTAGAAAAATCCATAACCTTAAGTGTGAGCAATAGTACTGTCTGGGAGCACTAGTTATAATTATTCATCTTCATTTACATCAACGCATTAAATCTCGAGCTAAACCCTCACGTGTGAAACACCCACACAAAGCATGTCATCACTGCAGATCGACAGCCTCGGAAGACACATCCAAAACATCACCACTGACCTTCGAATCAGCAGTCAGAAGCATTGCAAACCTAGCCGCAAACACAAATATACTGTGTCATGCAAGTCGGTTGATTGACCATTAAGAGACCGTGTGGTGATATTGAGATTCTAGCGTTTCCTATTAAGTGAGAATGCCCCAGGTACACCGACTGCCACTCGCACGCCACGCAGCAAGAATTCATATATGCTGCGCCGCTGCAGCTTCATTGATGTCCTGTTCTCTGGCATGTTGCACCATGGCAGATCAATATGACCTTACCTCTGCTGCCTGCTTCTTTGAAACTTAATTACTGATATTCAGCTACAAAGTCATCATGGTCTGGCTGCCAATATTCATTGGGGATCATTACCAGCCTAATAAAACCGGTTATTTATCGGCTTCTGAGCTGACATTTAACCTATCTCCATTTGCTTCTCTGCTCTGCTCTGCGCAGACAAGGCAAAAAAAAAACATGTGATTTGTCTTTAAACTAGCTGTTTTTTTTCTGTCCTCAGATGTACTTGATTTTCTGCACAGGTGTCAGCACAGACAAGTGGCTCTCCAACTGTTGTAGATGACACGACTTCGTAAATTTGTACATTTATAATGCAAATTAGATTTTTTTTTTAACTATTTATTGTTTTATGTCTAATTTCTGATCTATTTGTATATAGCTTTGTGCATATATGCAATGCATGATGTGAAGCTGCACTGACATGTCACTTGGTGCACACACCACAATTTAATTCTGTGCGAGAGAAGCGATCAACAAAAAAAAGCCAGAAATTATTCTGTTTACAGTAAGTGTATGAGCAGCATCAAGATGCTCATTTTCATGAGGACATGCACAACATTTCAAACATGATTTCAAATAATATAACCACTTTGACAGAGCAGTCCTAGACAGAAAAGCTTTTATCAAATTTTAAAATAGTTTTAATATTAATGCGTTTGAATTGAATTTGCATAAGAACACATAGAATTACAGTTTCAACCTTTCTGAATGTTGTCATCATGGTGTTATATGCATTTTCTGATAGGACTCTTCCACAGATATGCAAAGGTGGTGCTTGGCTTAAAAAGAACCACTGGCAGACAGTATAAGTACAGACAGTGTTTAGTTCATGGGATGTCTTTACATTAGATCAAGTCTGAAATATTGTTCCAGTTCCATCTTGCAGTATTTTATCACAGATGAAAGGTAGCTGTTAGCTCCTGCTTGTTATGTGGCAGCAAAAAGCATATTTCTCCAACGATTCTGTGTGTTTCTGATGAAATTATTATTATTTATTTATTTTTTGCAACCAGCAAAGTAGTATATATTTTGAAGAGATCTTAAAAGCTTAGGACAGTTACTAGTGGAGCTAAAATGCAACAAGTAGATGTCTGATTATTTATATGCCATATGTTCATACAGACGATAAATCAATAGTATCATGGAGGTTGGTACACCTTGCTTTGCCTTTTGTGAGCTTGTAATGTCAGTTGGAGAAACAGTGAACCCTGGAGGCTAAAGGGTAATACAACACACATATACAAGGGCCCTTTGCCAGCATCCCCCCTTTAGCGTTTAGATTAATATGGTCCACTTTCTATCAGCACACTCGCTGTTAATGCAATCTGCACTGCTTTCCCAAAGCAATTAACGGAATGGATGCACTGCTGTTGTTTTATCAAAAACAAGTTGCATCCTGAAGCACATCTCAGCTGTTGATTTATTCATATGTGTTTCACTTTAAAAGCCTCGGGCCCATCTCTTTTTTTTATACAGATTGAGCCGAGGATGCGTGAAGCCCAGCAGGCAGAGGTGCTTAGAGATATGAGCTGTAACGTAATGTCACACAGGGGAGAAATAGAAAATGATGATTTGGCAAGAAGTGCCTGGCATCTTTATACAAGAAGGTGAAGCAAGACTGATAGTAGTGCAGTGATGATGAGGAATGTCTGTGGACTCAAATTGTTTTGTTGATTGGCGCAGACTCCAGGGGTTGATATGAGAAAGGGTGCTAGCTGTTTGTGTCTTTATGCGTGCTGAGACTGACCAAGAATGAAGGTAGTGCTTCAATGAAAAGAAAGCAAAGGCACGGTTAAGAAGAAAGAAGCATGGTGATTTCCCTGCTGAATATCGTAAAGTGTGAAGTAGTCATTTAGCAGAAGCCTTTATCCAGCACAAATAGAGTCAGTGTCCAATCCTGCTCCTGCAGGGCCAATGCAATGTCCTGCTGAGTTTAGCTCCAACCTGTCCCAAAACACTTCCCTGGAAGTTTTCAGTAATCCCGAACTTGATTAGGATCGGAGCTAAACTCTGCAGCACAAAATAAAAAAACAACACTGAAATAAGAGCGTGTGGTTTATCTGTCAATCACATGCGCATGAAAGTTTCGTTACTACAGCAACACTAGAGATTTCTTTAAGAATTGTCCTGGGTCAAATTCGATTAATCACGCATGACTTTATTTAAATATAAATACACCCAGTGATGTTGTTGGTTCACAAAATCAAAATTGTGAAATTATTATCTGTAAAACATGGCCAACTAACATAAAAAAACATCTGTTTATGAATTATGAAATCATGAATATGTTGGCTACCATACGCTATAAATAAAGAGAGTTTACTGTAGATGGCTTGAAGCTGCGGGCAAAGGGGGGGGGCTGCTCTGCTCTTATGTCCCCACCATAGACTGTATAAAAACATGGACGTAGTGTCCGTGACGTGTCGCCATCTTGGCAGCGCATCACCGCGCTTCACTCCCGGATAATCGAAAATGGGCAAAGAGGCGGGAGCTGGTTGCTGAAACCACGCCCACCTAGCTCGACGGTGGTAGATCCACCTGTCACTCAAGTGACCACGCCCTTAATTATGCACAACTTTAAGGCTTAATATAATTTAAACGGATGAGTTATATAAAAATTCACTCCTTGTTGGCTTCACGAGAGAGAGCGGGAGGTTGCCGCTTGGTCCCCACCAATGTCAAAAGCAAACCTACGCCCTTGCTGTAGGACACCAGGTCTTCTGAAGCATTTCTTGAAATCTGAAATTAGATTTGAGAGCATGTAGCATATAAATTGTATGGACTACATTAATGATACCTACTCACTAGGGATGTAACCAAGCATCCTGAGCCAGTTGAAAATCAATGAAAATATGTGACGATTCAAGTCGGATGAGACGTTAACCAAATCGCAATACAGTTGGTGGTGGGGTTTTATATGAATGTATCTCTGAGGGGAACTGACTGTCTTCAGAAAAGTTTAAATGGCATTTGCTTTTCATCTTGCCTCTGTATATATATATATATATATATATTGTATTATTCATGTATTTATTTGATTTGGGATTTAAAATTTCACTTTATTTTTGTTATTTGACATAAAAGATTTTTCATCAAGAAATGTGCAGCACTTTGCCTGAGAAATAACAAAAGGGCCATTTTTTATTTATAATTTGCCTTAAATCTCATTTTCGTTTAAAAAAAATGGTGAGAAAACGTCGTGAATCGTATAGCATCATGATTTCAGTGAATTATTACATCCCCACTGTATGCTTTCATTGAGAAAAAGCAGCATAAATGGTTGTAGTAATAAACAATAAATGGGTGAAGTATTGCTTGAACTTCTAGCAGCAACACTTTACATGACTAAACTTCTCAGCTTAGTTTATTAATTTATCTTCTGTTTGTTTTGCAGAGATCCCAACAAACCAGTGCCTCAGGATACCAAGTTCATCCATACTAAAGCCAATCGCTTCGAAGAGGTAGCCTGGTCCAAATACAATCCGCAAGACCAGCTGTACCTGCACATCGGCCTCAAGCCACGAGTCCGGGATCACTACCGCGCCACTAAAGTGGCGTTCTGGAAGCACCTGGTCCCTCATCTGTACAACCTACACGATATGTTCCACTACACCTCCACCACCACCAAAGTGCCACCACCCGAGGCGACTCAGAACTCCCTGTCCACCAAACGTCCCAACGGCAAAGCCTGGCCATTCAACACCAAGCGGCCTCCGATGTCTCCGGCCTACAACAGCGAGAGTGGGAAGGAGCAATGGAACGGAGAAGAGGAACCAGGCCCACTGGTGGTGGAGAACCCACGGGATTACTCCACCGAGCTGAGCGTAACCATCGCAGTGGGAGCTTCTCTGCTGTTCCTCAATGTTCTGGCGTTTGCTGCTCTGTACTACCGCAAGGATAAGCGCCGACAGGAGCAGCACCCGCAACTCAGCCCACCACGAGCCACCACCACCAATGACGTGAACCGGCACGCCCCTGAAGAAGAGATCATGTCCCTGCAGGTGACCCAGACGCACCACGAGTGCGACTCAGGGCCGCCCGGTGACCCGTTACGGCTCGCTTCACTTCCCGACTACACGCTGACTCTGCGGCGCTCGCCTGACGATATCCCACTCATGACGCCGAACACCATAACCATGATCCCCAACTCGTTGGTGGGCATGCCCAACCTACATCCCTACAACACCTTCACGGCTGGCTTCAACTCCACCGGCCTGCCACACTCCCACTCCACCACGCGTGTATAGCTTTATGGTGATCCGACAAAGGGAGGGATGTGGGGAAAGCCTTTGGTTTTAATGAAAACGTTGAAGTGAGAGGAAGGGGATCAGGACGATGACGGAAACAAAATGATTTGAATAGACTTTTGCAAAAAGCAGTGACACGTTCTTTCCAGATGTCAAGTTGTGCAAACCTGCCAAAACAGAACTGCTCTCTTTCCTTTGAAAAGGGACGAGGGTTTCAAGCAGTATTTTTTCTAATCATCGTTAAAAAAACAAACAAAAAAAAACGCCTTTTTATGCAGAATCGGGCGAATCACTTTTTTCTTGAATAAATAACAAAAAACAAAGGAAAGTGCATTTTATTTCCCATCACAGTCTTTTGTGGGAAACATGTTTCAAAACAGTGGCCTCTAAGGTGACATCTGCATAATATTGTTTGCTTTGCTTTTCAATTTCTTTTCAATGCCTTATAAAGAGATGTTTTTTTGCCTCTTAATTTGACGATCCTTTCCCTGAGATGTGTTTGTGTGGAACGTAGCGATCTGACTTGAGTGGTAGGAACCATGAGACAGACGACAAATATGGAAACTGGTGGATTGAAATGGTAACTGCAACTCGTTTTCCAGTTGCATAACCTCACATGTTTTTTTCTTGGTTCCACTGAAAATCTTTTGTTTGAAACTGTTTCATTGGACAAGACTGGAGATAAAGACTTTTAAAGTTACTGTAATTGTTTTGTTTAAAGAAAAGTGCATCTTTTACTACAAAAATTAGCTATCGGCTCCTGCGTCAAATTCCCATGAAATGCACACTTACACACAACGCTCAGAGCACTGTTTGACTGGTGTGTGTGTGTGTGTGTGTGTGTGTGTGTGCGCGCGTGTTTGATTGCCTTTGCCATGTTTTCTGTTAAATATTTGTGTGATAGGGGTGGGGGGGCTTCTGCGTTGATTTTGTTCACCATAAGTAATGTTTCAGCTGCGTCTATTGTCATCTGTCTTTGCGAAATAGATCTTTTTGTTATTTTAAAAAAGTTACATATGTCTAATTTTGCTTAAGAATTATTACAAAATAAATCTATTATTTTACATGCAAGAGAAAACAATAGCTTAAGATTGAACTGAACTAACTGACATGATTCCATTGACTTTGTAAGCGTTCCTCTCGACTGGAGACAGTGGCCTCTTTACACTGAATAACCTGACTTCAGTGTAGACATGTGTTTCTTTAAATATATATATAAATATGGGCATACATACATATATGTATAGGGCTTTTATGAAGATTTTGCTCCCATTGACCTGAAAGTGTAAATGACCATTATTATCAATTATTAGGCTGAAAGCACCTATATTCAGAGGGCAGAGCAGTTCGTGTCTGTACAAGTTTTATCCTCTGCACCATAATCTGAGGCCACAACAAGTGTCTTTTTAATAGCTCTATATGTATATTTATGTATAAATATATTTAATATTTATGTATGTATACCAGATGTATACATGCTGATTGTGCCATGTGCCAAATTAAACCATAAAACTGGAGAAAACGGTTTTCAAAAAACTTTATTTTATTTTATTTATTTATATCATTTTTATTTTTATGCAACTCCATCACAGTTAAATGCATATTTCCCATCTGATTTATGTTGCTTAATATATGAAGATTTTTAATGAAATTTTGGGTGGAATTCAGGGTAATATGCTAAATCAGTCATCTGTACCATAGAGACATGTGTTTCTTTAAATATATATATAAATATGGGCATACATACATATATGTATAGGGCTTTTATGAAGATTTTGCTCCCATTGACCTGAAAGTGTAAATGACCATTATTATCAATTATTAGGCTGAAAGCACCTATATTCAGAGGGCAGAGCAGTTCATGTCTGTACAAGTTTTATCCTCTGCACCATAATCTGAGGCCACAACAAGTGTCTTTTTAATAGCTATGTATGTATATTTATGTATAAATATATTTAATATTTATGTATGTATACCAGATGTATACATGCTGATTGTGCCATGTGCCAAATTAAACCATAAAACTGAGAAAACGGTTTTCAAAAAACTTTTTTATTTTATTTTATTTATTTATATCATTTTTATTTTTATGCAACTCCCATCACAGTTAAATGCATATTTCCTATCTGATTTATGTTGCTTAATATATGAAGATTTTTAATGAAATTTTGGGTGGAATTCAGGGTAATATGCTAAATCAGTCATCTGTACCATAGAGTCATTGTGCAGTATGATTAGCACAGAAAACTTGCTAAAATACCTCTTGAAAACTTCATTTTGCCAACATGTACAAAGTTAATGTACACACTTAATGATGAAGAGAGAGAGAGAGAGAGAAAAGTCAAATTTCCAAAATTACATAATGAGTAAACCTGTTCAGCAAAGCATTTAAGAGACAGGTGTGTAAATTATGTTTCTAAAAGCTAGCACTGCATAGCATCATTCCAGGCTTCGGAAAGCCTTTATGGTCTGAAACTGGAGTTATCATCAAGTATGAATATCCCCACATCCTACATGGAATGCAACAAATAAACAAACAAATAAATACACATTTGATTTCATGGCCAGGGATGCGCATAAGTGGTGCGCAGATGCGCATGCGTAACCAAAATAAAAATTTGCTGGGTAAATAAGTTCAGACCAATCATTTGCATATCATCACGGTTGACAGCTGTTAATACACAATTACCATTTTAGATTGACTAATTGTAATACTGTTTAAGATTTACATTCGGACTGAAAGCATAAATCTAGGCTACGCGCTGCCGTTTCAGAGCAAAAGGCAAAACTGTGGCATTTCATTCGCTGACGCACTTCACTCGCCAGCACTAAAACCGACAGCGCATACTTGCCGGAACCCGCCAGTTGTAAAAGCTTGC